CTGCCATTGCTCGGGGGTGTAACACTTGGGCGTCCAGGCGTGGATAGCAGCAATCTCCGACTTCAAGACCGAGTTCACCAACCGATGGCGCGCAAGCATAGTCTTCTTCTCGAACTGCGGAGAAACAATAATCGCCTGGAAAGCCTGTCCGCAGCCACCTATGACAGGGGGAAAGAAAGTAGTTAGAGACACCCCTCAGTCAAGTATATCCATACTGTAGGCCATCGTCGCAGACTTTACGCACCAGACAAATCCTCAATCTCAACAACCTGCGCCTGAAGTTGTTCAACCAATTTACTCTTCAGCAGCTCTGGTGTCACACTCGACGTTGCGTCCGCCATTGCTGCGTTGATAGCCGCGAAGGAGCGTGCAGTGATCGAAAAGGGCGAGTTTTGGCGAATGGGGGTGCGGAGAAGGTACCGGCAGCTTCTGCTTAACAAAGTGGTGGTGCGGGAGTACATCAAGCGCGGCTGTCAGGTTTGGAGTGATAGAGGGGTCGGCGAGGGTATTCCTTCAGTACGCGAGCCAAGGCGTTGAGGCGTGTAACTAATAGATCTAGCAGACAGCTCAAAAAAAATGATAAGTGATATGATATTATCAATCCGCGGAAGATGCATGACGGAATCCGTAACTAATCCAGCTGGTTGGATCCGGCCGGGAAAATGGGACGGCGTAAATTACAGTATGTGGCTTGACTACTCCGTACGCTCGGTTTTATCTGATCGCGTGTGGCGCAAGCTATCCCCTCTCTTACCTTATCGCTTGGGGATTCTCGATACACCCTGAGACCTTTTGCTATGACCTTCTTTCGAATGCATATGCTGTTGTGCAACATCACAGGCTGAAGATTGTTGCAACCTTTCATGAGTCCTCTCTTCCGAGTACCACTGCGCCGGCTCTCAACAATGTCGACCACCTCGTCACCTTTCACTCGGGCCGTTGTGAGCTCTATGAAGAAGCTGTATGCATGCACTTTACTTCATCCTACCATCACTAGAGATTTCTTCTCAATTGCCTTTTTGCTGACTCTGCTACAGCTATCCGGAGGCATTGGCAGACAAGAGCTTTGACAACACTGGATGTGAGATTGCCTGTATTATGTCATAGTATCCCAATGCTCATACAATTCTCGTCCAGTGCTTCTCGAAGCTCCCTTCCATCCCGCTCGGCGGCAGAAGAATTCTGTGCTTCTGACCATTGATCTCACAAAGGCGGTAGCAGATGAAGCTATCAAGCGGAAGGATTCAGTGGTCGTAGCCTACCGTACGCATTGTACCTAGCATCGTCTACGGGCTACCAGCATATTTGCTAACCGATTTTTTGCAACACAGACCCCATCATCTTTCGAGGACTAAAGTCCCTCACTCTCAATGACACACAGCAACAGTCACTGTTGCGGCTCGCCTCAGAGGGCATCAGCGTGTACTCCCCGCATACAGCCGTGGACGCTACCCCCGGTGGAATGGCAGACTGGCTTTGCGATGTCGTTACCGGCGCAATCGCTCCATCTACCGACTCCTCTCCCTCTGTCTCTGCGTCCTCCTCACAGCACTACTCCCAGCCAACATATCCCCAACCTCGGCCAGCATCCATCTCCCCCTCCTCCGCAGCCCCCCACGTCCGAAGCACGATTCATCCATCTCCACCCCCGGTCCCTGAAGGCATGGAATCAGCCGGTATGGGCCGTCTCGTCACCTTTGAGACTCCCCAGCCTCTCACCACCATCGTCGACCGCATAGCACAAGGCGTCGGTCACCCGGGCGGTATCCCGATCGCGATCCCACAGACTGTCCCAGTCGATTCGGTGAAGATCCGCACCATCGGTATCTGCCCGGGATCTGGATCAAGTATCCTTTTGAGTTCAGGAAGTCTGCCAGATCTTCTGTTCACAGGCGAGTTGAGTCACCATGAAGCGCTGTCGGCCATTGAGCGTGGGTCGGTTGTCATTGCGCTCGCGCATTCTAATACTGAAAGGGGATACTTGCATGCCGTTATGCGACAGAAACTAGCCGCTACCCTCAAGGAGGAATGGGAGGCCCAGCGTGAAGAAGGATTGAACGCTCTAGAGGAGACTTTCAAGGAAGGAGGGGCAAGTGTGATCGAGAGTTTTGAGGAAGTCTACAAAGATGCTAGTTGTGCTGTCGACGTAAGTGAACGCGATCGGGACCCTTACGGTATAATGATCCGACGGGCGTGATCTCTTCAACACCGCAATGAAGTATGTGTATTGCCGCCGGTGAAATGTGCCCTTAGCACAAGTGGAGTACAAAACAAAAAATCGTTATCAAGAACTAGACTCGAGCAGATAGAGATCGAGATGAAGTGCCCATGTAAACGACTCTACCACCGTAAGACATGACGAACGCGGTCTCATACCTAGGGATCAGCTCAGCAACACCCGGATCTCGCCCGTAGTACGAGGGAAGAGCCTCCTAAGGTCCGATTCCTGCTCGTCATCACCAAAGACCTTTCCGCTCTCAGTGACAACCTGATCCTCAACACCCGCGTCACTGCCATCCTCTGTCGGTTTAATATCGACTCTGCCTCTAGCTTCGTCCGCGCCGATAATCATGCCCTCCACAAATTCAAAGTCGCGGCAGAAAGCCTCGACCGCTTCTTCCGTAACACTCTGAACGAAACTGGCGCTCTGCAGGCGCTTCAAGTTATCTGTAGCATCCATCAGGGCCGAGGGAAGGAAGTCATCGAGTTGTTGGCTGATAGCGATGAGGGCTTCTGGCTGGAAGGCGGGGAGGTCGGCTATCTCAGCGATGTTTGTGGGTTGTTTATCAGCCTGTCGCGGTGCGTGGCCGTCTGTTCCTTCAGATTCAGTTTCTAGAGTTATGGAGGATGGTGAGAAAGGCTCGAGGGCAGCCAACAAGATGCCCAAGCCCGATGAATCGAGTAGATAGCGGTGTTGGATTTCGAGCAATTCCATCCGCAGGCTAGACAGCGCGGTAGAGATAGGGTTCAGATGAGTTGCACTTGCGAATGGGAAGGCAGAGATTGTTGAGCGCGCTGTCAGGAGAACGTTGGTGGTGTAGATAGCTCGAGCTGTTGCGTCGGGGAGCTCGGTCGCTGAAGATTTGGCCAGTTCCAGGAAAGGGTCAAACGCGACACGGAGGACGGGTGTGAACTTGTTATCCACCGTGCTTCCGGATTCCGCATCTTCTGCCCCGAGTGAAGCGTCATGAGTCTTCATGAGGGAGGTCAACTCTTCCAAGGCATCAAGGAAGAACTCCGGTGCGGAAAGGTCGTCCGGTGGAGTCAAAGCAGAATGATCGTTAGAGAGTATATTGACTTGCTCGCGCATGATACTTTCGAAGCGGGCGAATGTGAAGTTCTCTAGTGTCTGAAACAAGTCCGCCAGGTTGGATTTCGTTCCCAGCAGTCTGGAAAAGGTTGCTCGATAGAACGAAAGCAAGTGAACAACTTTGTAGCAAGTGACAGGCTCGTCGTGGCCCTGAATCACCAACTCAACCCGCTGCCGTAAAGCTCGAGACACTCCGACTAGATCACGATTCACGAGGTCGCTAAGGGCTTTCTGACCATCAAAGGAGACCTCTTCTCCCTCATCGATACGAGACCAGGGTTCGCTGTTCAGTCCAGCCTGGATCCCTTTGGCGATTTCCTCCCCATCTGCTACGAACAAAGCTTCCAAAGCCTCCCTCTCCGATACAGTCGTAGAGTGAACCCATGCCAGCATATCGCCGACGTACCGCAGAGGATCATGAGCCGAAAACTCAATCGGTTTCAAGTTACGATCCCCCCCAGTGCCGGAGACGGCATCAGTTAGGGCATAATGAAAGGCGTCGGACAAGACATAATCTCGTGCTTCGGCGAAGAAGTCCAAGCAGTTATGAAAGAGGCTCGGTCGTTCGGCCAGAACTCGCAGAGCGCGCCTGATTGAACTGCTGATTCGCGGATCTTCGAGATTCAAGGACTTGAACTCCTTCTGTATCCATCTGAAGAGTTTCTGGTATGCGGAGTTCAGGTTCCTAGAGCTCTTCTCCATCAATTCCAAGCCCAGTCTTTGGTTCTCCCCTCCCAATAAGACTTCGCAATCATGATGCACCTGTTTTACCCGATCAAGGGCATTGAAAAAGCGGTCGTCAATCGGTTCCTCTGCCGAGGTGAGAACTAGTAACTCATCGTCCGAGACGACGAAGTGCTTCACGAACGCATCGAGAAGTTGTTGTTTTGTCTCCGATTCCTTCTTCTGATTCATCAGTGCAGATGCCTCCTCGAGGACTGGAGTCGTGTCCTGTTTAGCTCGGACGATGTGCTGCCGCATTTCATCACAGGTCTGATTCAGGCTTGATATCACGGCTCCGATCCTTTGCAATTGCTACCAGTGTAGACTATGTTAGCCACCTGCCTCAATGTCGCTCTTGTGCCGCCCAAGATGCGTAACGGCTCACCTCTGCGACTTTGCCAAAATCCCGCACGATTTCTGCATTGGATTCCACCACTTCTTTTTGCACATCTAAGCGCAGCTGCCTTCGCGTCTCTGCAGTGTTGTGAACGCCCCGAAGACTGAGTGTCTCCAGCGCATCGCGTATATCGGAGTCCGCATAGGAGGCCGACAATACACTGGTCAGTCGGTTTGACAAGGCATTCGATCGCTGTGTGGGCGGCGATAACGGAGTGGAAGCTGGAGAAAGAGCACGTATGGACGAATGGCTAGCTGTAGCTCCCGGAGGAAAGTAGCTTTCCATGGTGAGCTATCCGAGTAATGGTCCGACGGGCGAGCCGGCGGAGGATGATGTATCCAAAAGGTGGTCACTACAGCGAAAGCGGGAAGTCGGATCACAACAATCCCCGCGTCCCGATTTCAGTTCAACATCGACCATCGCATAGACATCTCGAGTCGACCCTATGGGCACGCCAGTGTCATAATCGGCAAAGTTCGGTTTAGCCGCAGGAATTGGTCGCTGCAGTCCACAGTTTACAATCTTGCTTCTCTACACTTCAATCGCTTGTTTACTTGGACCACAGTCGCGATGGACAGCCCGCTCCTTTCCCCGGCAAAGGCACGTCAAGCAGCCATTCAGGCCAAAGACTGGGCATATGTGAATTCCTGGCTAAGTCGCCAATACTCACCGAATGCGGTGCCGAACTTTGAACGAAATGAAGATACTTTGCGCACACTTTTAGCTCTTGCTGCTGCTAACGACGCAGCGGACGAAGAGGCCTCATTGCTCCACCGTGCGCGCGAGGAAGCGATTCGGGAATTCAGAGCGCGGGAGGAAACTGAGGATAAACAGAAAAAAGAACTACTGGATGAGCTGGAGCTTTGTCTCGGTGAGAATGGAAAACAAAATCTCGACGATTTGGCGGAGACGACTGCTGTCCTGGGGGCTCTACGCACAGAAACCAAGGACCTTGGTCAGTCGATCATTGAGCTCACAATAGAGGAGTTTGATGCTCAGCAGGAAATCTCCAAGGTTGACATGCTTCAAAAATACCTGGAAAAAGAGCTGGCCGCTCTACAGGAACAACTTGATCAACTCAAGTCCGATCCTACATATGAAGTACCTGCAGACCTTCCAGCTCTCACCGCGGAGTGGTCGAGGAGTACCAAAATGCTCACTGCAAAACTCAGTGAGTACCATGATAGGCTAGCGACGTTGGGAAGAATCAGCAGCAAAGGTCCTACGATTGAAGACTTGGTCACAGAAGAGAAGCAAATAAGCCAACTAAAAGACACCATCCGGAGTCTGGACCACCGATTAGAGATGTTCCATGATCTGCCAAAGGACGTCCAGGGCGCTCGGGCACAATACAGACGGCTCGAGCGAGAATTGAACCAGCTCATTGAGCGACGGGACTCAATGTTTGAGAGTTTAGTGGACAAGAGATGAACCCATGATAGAGGCGCGCATGTGAGCAACTTTCAATTATCAAGACATATCATTCGTAACTAATAACAACAGAGGATATAAAGACATGGCTTCCGAAGTGGTATCGTGAAGTCGTAATGAATCATGATATCAAGCTGCCGCAGGCTATCCATCAGCTTCCAACACAGCATATCTAGTTGTTGCCAAGGCCGACGGTGTTCTTAATCTTGTCACCACTGCACGACGACAAAGGTCAGAACGAGCTTCAAGATCAATCAGTTCGATGGATACTCACATGGAGCCGCTAGCACCGCCGTGGGCGTGATTGTCATGGGAACGCTGAGTCTTGTCGAAAGCCTCCTGGGTGCCGGACTTGCTCTCGTCGGTCTGCAGACCACGGGCGACACGGTCACCGGTGTCAGTAACGCCCTCCTTGATCTTCTGCTGGGTGGACTTGGTGGAGTCAGGAGTGAACTCCTCCTTGGCCTCTGCACTCCTGTGTTAGTGAATTGTAACAATGCTTGCCATGTAAGGAGTGCATATCACATACTGGTAGAGAAATCCTTGCGACCAGCGTCAGACATTTTGAAGATGGTTTGATAGGGAGAAAGTAAGATTTGTTATGAGATTGGAAAAGTGTTTGCTTGCTTGTGGATTGTTATGATTGTTGTTGGATGATGAAGGAGTTCTACACTGGTCGAACGAGACCTTTATATCTTTCTCTGCCTGCCATTTCTGGACCCTACAACTGGACAATGCTTCAATGACGTCGCTGAGCAACCTGTATCTTGCGACATCTGTAACCAGGATTGCGACCAGCCCAGGTACCATATTCTGTCCTGGGCCGTCATAATTCACAAGTGCTTGCATGCAGGTATAACCCCACAACTGGTCATGGCCGAACCCTGGGCCTCGGCTATGACAACTCCTCAATTCAACGTCACCATTACGAAAAAGCTTGGTTTTATAACCGCTACCCCTGTTTCAAGACTAGCACGCAGCCATCATGAGGCTTGAAGCTCTGACATTGCAGTTTAAGCCACAACCATCATAGTAGGAAACATGGTTGATTATCTATGACGTCGAGACGATCATTGGTTAGCCATATATGGTTAGCAAGTCTTGGCCCTTTTGCAGCAATGTTTGTCGCGGATCATCTGTCATCGCGACCTCCGAGTACGCTATACCTTTTTCAGAAAATAGTTTTCGATCGAGACGAAATAGAAGGCGGTGGGAGCCGACAGAATAATCGCCACCAATCGAGTCATCTGCAAGGCTGATGGGTGTATGCCCGATCTGCCTTCTCTATCATCTACATTTCCTTCAATGCTTCTGGCAGCAACATTGTCTTGTGCGAATCTATCGACAACCATGTTGACCTGCTCCACCTTTACAGCTTGGTTTTGTTTATCATCTTGTCATCTCTAGTCATTTCTGATCTTATTATCGCTCCAGTTAGTTTATCGTTCTTGTGATCCGTACGAGACCCCGCCTTATCTGAGAAACTCCTTGACACTTCCATAACTTCAAGCATAATATCAAATCAAAACATCGTGTTACTTATCAATGCCATCGTCTGCCGAGACAGCTTCGAACTGGGATTTCACTCCGGTGTTGAATCTGCTCCGTTCGCCTGCGTACAACGGGCGTGAGCGATCCCGTCTCATTGGCCACACCAATTCGCTCCCTACCTTTGAGAAAGATGACACGGAGAAAAATGCCAACTATTCTAGCAGTAGCTACCCGAGGCTAGGTGATTTTGGTCCTCTCTGGGATCTCCTTGGCCACGGTAGTTCACCAGGCGTGAAAACAGAACAGTCCCAGGCGCCTGGGGCTTCTTGTTCTGAACAGCATCAGAATTGCAAGCCGATTCAGATTCTCAAGAGACCTATAGTCACGGCAAATTTCTCCGAAGATACTATCAAACAGAGCTCTAGGGCTTCCCCTAAGCCGATACCTAGTTCAAATGCCTCTAAAGCTCGAGTCCCCGAAAAGAAAGCTGTAGCAGAAAACAGCACAGCTTGTCAGAACCCTCAATCGAAAGTTTCCGAGGTTAGCTCGTCGGAGAACAGTGTGGAAGCAGAATCCGACGGCAACCTCAGTATCTTTGACCCACCCTTGTCGAGAAAACGGGGTGCCGTGTCCTTCATCCCCTCTCAAGTCTGCACGCCAGAGTCTAATGCTGAGCTATGCGACACTCCGCCGTCCTCTTTTGATGAGTTGGAAGGGTCCCTGACAGCTGAGACTGTCAAGAGCTTGCCTACTGGTCCTATTCGCGTGCAGCCCATTGCGTATAAATCAGCCGCAGACCGAAGAGTTGGTCTTATTACCAAACTTCTGAAGAAATTCCCCGAGTACGCGGAAACCGTGGCTCAAGTTGGCCGGTCTCCAAGCACTAAACCGAACAAGCAGGCGTCACGTCCCATCCATGTCTTTGTTGATATGTCCAACGTGAGTATTCGGTATACAATCATTTCATGATCGTGACTAACCTCCCATATGACAGATTATGGTTGGCTTTCATGACTCTGTGAAGTTAGCTCGCAAGATACCTGTGAAGACTCGCATTCGGCGTCTGCCCCTCTCGTTTCAAAACTTCTCTTTGATTCTCGAGCGAGGTCGCCCCGCTGCCAAGAGAGTCTTGGTTGGCTCTGATCGATTTGCAGCCATTGACGAAAGTCAAAAGCTGGGCTACGAGGCCAATATATTGGATCGCGTTCACAAGGTGAAATATTTAACTCGTCGTCAGTTGAAGTATCGGAAGAATCCCCGAGTCAGCTCTCAGGAAGGAGGCAGCGGTTCTGAAACGAACGATACGCCGGAGGAGCGATGGGTTGAACAGGGAGTGGACGAAATTCTGCACCTGAAGATCCTAGAAAGTCTGGTAGATTCCGATGAACCGGCGACTATTGTTCTAGCCACGGGAGACGCGGCGGAAGCTGAATTTTCGGGAGGCTTCATGAAGATGGTGGAGCGAGCACTGCAGCGAGGATGGAACGTCGAGCTTGTGAGTTTCTCGCAAGTGACGAGCTTCGCCTATCGCCGAAAGGAATTTCGCGCGAAGTGGGGAAAGCAATTTAGAATTATCGCATTGGATGAGTTCAATGAAGAGCTCTTAGATATGTGAAGAACAATGATATTTGTATGAGGTATCCCTGCACTTGGCTTCTACTTGTAATTTTCAGCGCCAAGCAGCCCGCGGGCTTGGAGGCAGCAACCGGAGCACCGCCAACAGTATTTCTATAGTTGGTCTTGCGAACAATAGTAAGATAGGCATCTATCTACCACATGCAGGCCCCAGCTGTGCTTCAGGGCTACTGTCCTCCACTAAGCATGTGTAAACATTGATCCCGCAGGCAAAGGTAGCTCAGGCTACCTCCACGTAAAGAGTGGAGGACTCATAGAAGTCAAATTCAACCAATCAGACGAACGGGAACCCCTCCAGTCACGACCGTAGGCGGACGTCATTCCTGCGGCGGAATGCAGTTGACCGCAGTCAACAGCATCGAAACAATAGATCCTTGAGAAATGGGATGATAAATAGCTCTGAAGTGGCTTCCCATAAACCTACCTTCCCTAACTCAGCTCACCAGATCACCTTCCCATCCATCGTCCTTTGAATATTGTGTGTCCGGCGATCTTCGATTCCCTCCGACAGCTACCCCCGCGTGGAAAGGAAATCATTACTTACAACAAGACGACATGGCTACCTTTTCCGAGCAGGCCTTCTACGGAGGTGCGATTCAGGGCATCATCCCCGAAGGCTGGGTAGACGGAAGGTCAGTATATCACACCCCGGATGCTCCCGTCCTCTCCTGCTCTACAAAAAAGTTACCCAAGCTAACATTTACGCAAACAGCACCCTCCGCGAGATCCCAGATCACCAAGAACTCTTCCTCTCCCCAACCACCCTCTCCAGCTTCATCATCGAAGTCAACCAGCGCGTCACACAAGAGCAGGCCCTATCAACGCTGGACCAGCAGTCCGCCATCCGCGGCGGCATCCCGGCCACCCACGAGACAATCGACAAAGCAGCCGTCATGTACCACCTCCGCGATCTGTGCGACGAAGACGACGTCTTGCAGGTGGTCATCCCCCCGGCAGCGGTAACCCCGGCCAAGATCCCTGCTTCTGCGCGCGCGCATGCGTACAAGGGCGTGGTGCAGATGACGACACCCAAGCGGCAGCGGAGGGATACCAATACGGGGAGGATTCCTGTTTCGGTCGGGGGAGCGGCGGCGGGATCCAGTGCGGATGGGCCGCAGACGTCGCGGGTGACGGTGCATTATCTGCTTGTGCGGTTGGAGGCGCAGGAGTCGGATCTACTCGTTTTCTTTAACGTGCCGCATGATGAGTTTGATCTGTCCGGGGATCCGCGGGGTTTGTCGAAGGAGGAGGAGGTGGCTACTGAGGCTATTGATAAGTTGGTGCAGACTTTGGAGGTTAAGGACTGGGGCTTGTTCGCTTAGGGGCTTTGATGAGACGAGGAGGGACTGAGTCTTTGCTTGCAGAAGAACTGGAAAAGCGCTTCAACATTCTGGCGCAAGAAAGGAGGTGCGAGTTCAGAGGGACGATGTTTGCGAAAAGTATGGCGGAGATGAAAAAGGCGTCATGGATATTGGAAAAACTAATCGATTGGAAACAAAACAGTGTACTTTCTGGCAAAGTGCGGTAGATTTATGAATCGGTAACTGCAGACGAGAAATGAAAACATATAAACAATATTTGGGAAATAGGTATATTGGGATGATATTTAGCATGTACGGCGTCAAATGCTGCCTCTACATTACCACCATCCAGCTTGTTTTTACCGGTTTTCAAGAAATAGATGGATTCCTGGAGGTAAGAAGAAAGGAGACATCAAAATCGTCAGTAGATATGAGAATAGTTCATCATATCATGACAAAGAGCGCTGTATATGTCGGAGAAATGACCAGATCCTGTAACTTTAAGGGACAGAAACATTTCCAGACGATGGACGGCAGGCCAGTCAAACCTCTACCTCTGTTCTCTCACTATACAAACTGACTTCGCCAAACACTTTCGCCATGTCCTCCACTGATTTCTTTTCGCACCGCTCTGATGGAGGAGTTGGTTGCTTCTTCCTGGGTGAGACGTTTCTTGGCTTCGGCTTGATTTGCTGCAAAAGGCCTTTGCACGCACCGCAGCGAGATTTGGCTGTGTCAATGCTCTTGGAATGCCGGCCATAGTTCTGACCACAATCAACACAGCTCCAGACATATTTGTAATCGATCTGGTAGCTGTGCTTCGTCGTCACTTCGACTCTTCCGCCGTACACAGGGTGATCTTTTAAGGCATCTTTGCACTTGCGACCCCATTGCTTAAAACTGGCCCCATGGGGGTTGTTGTGGACGTTTGAGATCATGTAGTTCGCCAGGTGGCAGTATTCATGTGCCATTGTGTTGATCAATCGGTCCTCGCTGTCGATGATGCGCTCTGCAAGCTCAATAGTAGCATGCTGCTTGATCAACGTTGATGGTTCAGATCCGCGTTCTGATGTTCGAGACTCTTTTCCAATCTTCTCGCGTTTCCAGTTGGCACGTCCGGCGGTAGTCAGTAGGTTTTTGTTCCAAATGATCCGAACACCGCCCGTTTCTTCTGCAAGCTTTTGGATCTGGCCTCCAGAAACGGCGTCGTCTAGAACCTTGAGAAATTCATTTGCGATTTGCGCCTTCTTGTTGTCAAACGACTTCTTGCGTGCCAGAGCAGCTTTCTTCTTCTCTGTCTCCGCTCTCTTCAATGCCGTCTTGCTTGGAGTTTTGGACTCTATATGCCTTTCACGGGGTCTTCGCATATTTTCGGAGTCGGTATCACCATCTGACTCCTCGAATTCTCTTAAAAACTGCTCTAATTTCGTGCCTCCTTTGTGCGGAGAATGTTGATCGATCCAGTGATCGGTGGCCTCTTGGCTCCAGAAAGCATCAACACTCTCGCGATATGGGGTTGGCGGTATGCGGATCCTGCCCTTCGTAGGTGACTGGAGAAGACTTTTAGAGGGACTGGCAGGTGGTGTTTCTAGAACAGCCAAAGGAGCTTCAGATTTCTTTGTGGGTGAATCAGTATCCGCTGCAGTGCTTCTTGGATGTTAGCAGCGTGCAACAGATAAGAGAATGAAAGAATGGCCTAAAGATCGCCTGAAACTCACTCATACATGTCCCTTTGAAGCTGGGAATTTGGATCAGAGTCCTCCAGGTTCAGGCTTTTCATGTCTTCGGTAATTTTGGGATTTTTCAAGTGTGATCTTTCAGGTTTCGGTTGCAGCTGGGGGGATGATATCGTCATGGTAGGTGGCAGAGATGGTTCTAAGCAGAGGTCATCTTTGTATGAAGGGTTCATCAAAGCCTCCTTGAGCCTTGCTTCTGGGTTTGGACGTCTGCCTCTTAACAACCTTCGCGTTGTTCTGGGAGGAGAAACACTTTTCAGGGTCTTTTCCTCCTCTGTTTCATCTGCAGATGTCTCATGGTAGCTCAGCTCTTCACTGTCACTGACTATGAAATCATCCAGAGAATCAAAGCTGTTGTCTCCGTTGTCGTCTTCTGAGTTAGTCTCTTGTGACTGGCGATAACTCAGAAATCTGTGGTTTTGCTCCTTTCCTTCCAGGTCCTGGCGGGCACTCCTCCTCGTTGGCGAATATCGCGAAGAGGCATTGGATGAATGCCTGGATATTGTCGGTGCATTTTCCTCTTCGTCCCCGTCGATGGGGTCATTCTCCTTCGCATAGTCAGACGTTTCCAATTTTTGAGTTGGTCGGTTTCGTGGTTGTTGCGACAGTGGGAGCAGGAGTGAGTTGACGTGTGCTTGCTTCAGCGGGACTGTTGTCTTGATTGTCTCCTCGCGGGAAGAGCTCGTGGAGGATCTATAGTCCTGGTCCACGTCGCTCGACCCGTCACTATCGGGAAGTATGTCGAAGTTCGCTGCTAAAGCCGTCTTCTTTTCCCGTTGCGATCGGCTTCTTCCCAGTGGTGGTCTTCCTCCAAATCCATTGGATCTCTTTTTGGTCCATGCATCGGTTGCTATTCTCCATTGTTCCTCCCTGTCTTCTTCTGCCTCGGGCGTCGGCGACCACCCTTTGAATATGCGTCCGACAGGAGTGTGTGATGCCTTCTTCTCGGATAATTTCGTCAATTTCCGAACATTGGTCTGCTTCGCTGGCGTTGCGTTGAGCCTTGCCATGATTCGTTCGACGTCCTGCGGCTTCCCTCTGGGCGTGGTGCAGCTTGTACCGCGTCTCCGATTACGCTGCTGTGAGAGAGAATTACGACAGCGATGACGATAGTGGTTTCCTTTCACTTTGCGTTCTTGTTCGCGGGCGAGAATACTGTATATAAGACATTTGATGGCTGGCAAATTGTCTCTTGTTGATCATCCGATTACTCCGTATAGAGTTGTAGGTTGGGTGGGTGGTTGACATGGCAACCGCATCCAGGTGACCATGGCTGTTGTGAAGCGATCATGCAGGACTAACATGATAAGAGTCGACAACACGCATTATTATGCAGTCTGGAGCATGGGTACGTGTTTACACACACCCCTTCCACGGGACTTGTTATTATGTGCAGCAAAATAATCAGAGGTTGGTACCGTGGTAATAGGTAAACCAACCCCAAAAAAAAAAGGTGTCAGGGCCCGAGCCGCGGATCGAACGCGGGACCTCTCGCAGATATGCTTGGGTTAATCCCTAAGCGAGAATCATACCACTAGACCACCCGGGCCTGCTTGTTAAAGTACCTCTGCTAATTTCACAATTTGAACCAGTATCTTACAGGTACTCAGCAAACTCCTGGTGATCAAAGGATGTCTTGAGCTCACAGTTTCATCTCTTATGTGGTCGTCGCAGCTGCTGCTATTTGCCTGTTTACTGGATTTACCTATGAGCGTGTCTTATGAAATTCTAAAACAAAAATTTCTTTATATTAAATCCAGCCAGGACTGTATTTATGAACTTGTCTAACCATGGTGGTGTTGGTAACATATTTAAATCACGGTCTCTAACAACACAGAATTCCAACTCACCGTATGAGACCATGATTCCCAGAGGCCATCCCATGATGCACCACACAGTCCACCTCTTGACGGGACTCATGACTCCCAACGGGTCACACAGATTCATACAAAGCCCATAACGCTGCCCGCTTGCATGCAGGATACATGTTGGACTATGATCAGAATCCACAAGTCCTGAACCTTGCACTCCCGGCTTAGTTTTACAGTATGGAACATTCAGCGACAAAACACAAGGAACCCATGGCGGATACTCTGTTGGTAATAGCCCACACCCTTCTAATGCACATGCACACCAAACCAACTTCTACAGGAGAATCATCCCAGCACCGGCAGCAATGGCAGTGACCACATACAAACCAAGCTGCCAGATACCAACGGTGACTGTCCCGGGAGCATTCATGTATGCAGCACCCTTAGAGCTTGACGCCGCAGCACTACCGGAGGAGCCAGCCGCACCCGCAACCCCAGTCGGGGAGCTCGTAACAGTGCCCGTACCGGAAGAACCAGCCTCCTTCAAAAGCGCAGAGCAAGTGCCACTGGGACTACTGGAAGTCTGAGTGGATGCAGCGCCGTTGAAATCACAAGCAGACTGGGCCTTGCCCTTGGCGGACTGTTGCTCGTAGTAGAGGTTCATAGCATAAGACAACTGCTGCTTGGGGCTGCAGACACTGTACGCGCCGTACTTGCCGGTGGTTGCATTGGTAGTCACTCCCTCGCAGACATCATAGCCGCAGACGGTCCCGAAGAGCTTCTCGATCTGGTCGTCAGATACAGTGTCCTTCAATGCGCAGCCTAAGCTGGCTTCCATGCATGAACAGAGGTCGCCGTTGGGAGAGGGTGGAAGAGGACTCGCAGTTGCAAGCCAATCGCTGTTGACTGGTGGGCACGACTGAAGAGCACTGTTTGTCGGGGTATACTCGCTCTTCTTGGTACCAGAGGGTGTAGCACTAGCCAGCTGCTGGGAAAGATAGCTGTAGTCGGCTCTAGTGCTTACCTTGTCGCCATCAATGCTGACCAAGCCTGCGGACCATTAGTTGCAGAACGCAGGACACATAGAATCCTCAGAGACATACCGTAGTTGTTGGCCTCCTGGAAGTACATATAAACGATACCACCGGACCAGACATCGGCCATCTTCGGTCCATAGAGCGCTGAGACTTCAGTGAACTTGCGAGGCTCAACCGCATTGCAACCATACTCAGCGAAGAAAACAGGGACCGAGTAGTTGCGGAACTCATCAGTACGAGTCGAGTAACCGGACTCCTCGTAGTTAGAGTCTCCACACCAGGAGTAGATGTTGTAGCCCCAAAAATCAATGCTCTCCTCCGCATTATCGCAGTTGAAATAGTCGGCCATCTTCTCACGGATGGACGAATCGTCATTAGTAGCATAGCCAACTCCCATGGTTCGGTAGTCCTTTGCTTTGATGTACGCCTTCATGTCTCTCACTGCAGCCTTGACGAAAGCACTGGTACCCGTCGTCTGCTTCGTATTAGACACCTCGTTTCCAGCAAAGAACCCGATGACGTTGGTATAATTGGCCAGAGCGTCCACCACAGTGACATATCGGTTAAAAAGATCACTGTCCCACTTTGGGTCATTACGAATAATAGATTCCCCCGGGGATGAGAGATCCGCAATCACATAGATACCGGCCTGGCTGAGAAGGTCCATGCACGTCGTATGGTCGGCGGTCGGGTCGACGGCATAGACACGAATCACATTGGTACCAAGCTTCTCGAGGTATGGAACGTCCCGCTTGCAGGCATCGGCATCGGCTAGAGGATCCTTGAAGCTGTTCGAGGAAGACTGGCTGCCGGAATAGTCCTGCTGATAGGCAACGCCCCTGATATAAAACTGGGTGTCATTGCTCTTGTAGAAGAACTTGGACCCCTTGATGATGATAGGGTCCACGTCCACAGCGTTAGCACTGCTGGCAAACAGTATAGCGCCTGCGAGGATACTGCTGAACCTCATGCTGATGCTTCAAGGAACGGGACAGGGTTTAGATCACGAAATAGCCAGGTCGAGTACCGAGTACAAAAGAATGGTATCGCCGAAGCGGGATTCGATTAGGAAGAGGTTATAGAAAACGAAGGACTCAGTCGACAACGCGAGTAAACGACTGTAGTAGAAAACCCCAAAGAAGATCCCAAAGAACGACAGGGGTATAAACGAATACGGAGCAAAGAAAGAACAAGCACACAGGCCAAGGGCAAGCGACACTCCTACGGATGAATGTACACACCAGAGAAAGACAACATGAGCCTTTCGAGCTCAGGGAATTCGTGCTCTTCTATGCGACAGGCGGACCCTACTCCAAGGCCTCAGGGACTCGAGGATAGAAAGCAACGATCCACCACCATCCCGCTCAGCTGGAGCCCAGGGCATCCTGCACGGGGCGATATTCAGGTTATCCACAGTTGATCACAGGTGATGATCGGTGATCTTCCCGTCTCGCGGGCTGTTATTTGCTCAGAAGCAGATTCTGGTGTCATTGCCGCGCGAGATGTCAATATCAGAGGGCCTCCGGAACACGCAATGCAGGTCCACACCCCAGACGATCAGGGGTCCAAAACCCTTGAAGTCTAGAAGAAGAGATAGCAGGAAAAGCTTATTCGATCGTTCAATCATGAATGTGTGGCTTAGCCTGAATTACTCACTTGTTGCTGTTTGAGGGATGAGTTGCTTGATGTAGGTTAGACAGGTAGGGATACGCCGAGGAAGAGTCTTGAATATGGGAATCAAGACAAAGCCGAGAGGTTCCAGTGAGCGAATCATCCTCTAGGCTTAGATGGCCCTCTGAAGGAGTGACCGATACCGTGCTGTGACCTCTGTGCCCAATAACCACCAATATCTAATGCAGAGGAGAGAATCCTTATCCAGAGATGGCCCCTCATAGATCCCGTCCTAGTTTGTGCTATGAAGGAAGCGATGCAGTGTCTGCATTTGGTGCCTGTATTGCATCTTGACCTCTGATATGACAGGGAGCTGCGCAGCCTGCGCTAAGTGTTGGCCCTACTTTTAACAATATACTTCAGACAGAGCTGGCTCATTAGATGCTCACAGAGTTGAAGATCATCTAAGCGACAGATTCGAAACCTCATACTCACTCCTGCCAGAGCCATTGTTTTCTGCCTCTAAGCTTATCCCCTAGCGGAATTCTACCTGCCCTGATACATAGGTAGTACTATAGACTCCGCAATCGATATGGAGGGACCATTATTATAAGCTTATATCGCCACACTCGCCTTGTGTTTCGCCTAGCTTAAGTCTTGAACACATTGGGACTGGACTAATCAGCGGAACAAAGGCAATCACAAGTCAATAAACAGCCAAGGACGCCGGCGGCTTGACTGTGTATTTGTGTAATCTCGATTGTATTCCCAAAGCATCAAATAATGTCCATTATGAGGGGCTGGCCTCTGCGGACCACGAATCCCTGACGAATCCTGAACACTGAGAGTTGAGAGGTGAAACCCCCTTTTCTTGTCCATGTCTTCCGCCAGGCTCGACCATTCAATCACACCGTTTAATTAACTTGCCACCCTGAGTGGGACTGTATTATTTGATTGGCCTTGATGTATCAGCTCCCCACCACCCCAATTTCGCGATCCATATCTCACAGCCACCTTTATTTTCAACATTGAAGATTGGCTCAAAAGGTATCTACCTAACTACTACGCCAAAATGCTGAAACTGGCTAATTGAGCCACAGCTTAGGTGTAATTACCTGGCGTACGGACTAGACTAAAAGTCCTCTTCACATTTTGAAAAATTCCCTAGCTAATATCCTCGTCTGGATCAAGGGCCCAGGCACCTTCGAAATCGCATCTTCGAAATCGCAATTCTTCATAGACTCAGCCACCACGTCTGGTCATCTTTGAGTAGATAGAGATGGTGATGATGCGCAGTATTCTGCAAGGGGAGCACTGCAATAGCTGACTATTAGGATAATCTGACATTTTGTTCAACAACTCCTGGCTTCCCTTCCTCGGCCGTCATAGGGTATTTGTGGGCTCTGCCCGGCATTGGAACCTATTGACCAGAATTAGATACCTGGATCTTGCATCCTTCATTTGCCTGAGAGATAAATAATGCATTATGCACACTTATCTACCATCCAGTCGCTGTAGCTATCTAATCTGTCGGCCAAATCAACCTACAGAGTACTTGGAACGACATAGTCGAGTTTGCACGGAGTACAAAACATACCTACACACAGACAAGAATACCTACGCACCATGGGCATGGCGGAAGAAAGATGGTGGTACTGGTAATTAATTACCTTAACATCAATGTTCGGTAACCGGTTCCATGGATGTTACTCATATTAGGATACCAAGTTTCAATGATCGTCCAATTGGGATTGTGATATATTTGGAAACACATTTCCACTTAATCATACTACTCTGTGGGGAGGTACCCACTAGTCCTATGAAGCAATAATACATTTCTCTTCTTATATAAGTGAGGAAGCTCAGGAGATACTTTGTATAAAGGAGGATTACAGGTTTGTAGTCAAATGAATCGGCATAAGAATAAATATAGTGATTGTCTGGGCCACCATAAAAGAGCCTGAACTAATATACTTACTACCTTCGTACTCCGTACTGTGCCGTAGTCTGTACTTCATAGAGTGGAATTGCAATCTTAGCAAGTGGGGGTCAACTTATCTGCAATTCTAATTTCTACATCTAAGCACTACTAGTTAGTTCGAAAGTCGTTGACTGTATGGATGAGATTCGCTCAAGCTACTGTGTCAAATGTCAATCTCGGCTGATCTATTTTCGAGTGGTATCTACTATTTAATATCTAGAGGCATGATGTTACAAAGCAAATGAGACAGAAGGCAAGAAAGGCAAGATTCTAGAAGCTGTGATAATTTAGTCTGAATTATCAAGTCCTTACTCCGTACGGAGTACAAGCAGTGAATAATGGATTAGCAGTACTCTGTACAGTCGCCAAAAGAAGACACTGGGTAAATCGATGGATGGACTGGTTTCTTTCCACGAGGAACGTGATGCCAGATTACTGATGGCATGATTACATCATGGTTATATTCTCAAGGCTTTGTGTGCTTCGTACATCTGTACACTACCTTATTACTAGTGGTCTTGGACGGACTACGAACTTGCGCTTATTTCCGAGGCTATTCTGCTCAATCCTGGTAAGATTAATGCGCACTCCATACCCTGTAGGTGTCTTTGACATATCTATCAAGCATAAGAGCTTTGCCATACATGTCCGAATGTCAGTATTCTTGAGAGTGGCGAACGGCATTCCTGACTCTTGATTCATGGCCGCATTCAGCTATCAAAGTGACTACCTAAGGTAGACACTAGGTACTACTGACCGCAGTCTATACACGTAAGTTACTATGTATGTGACTTTGTAGTTTGTAGTTTGCAGCTAACTATGGAGCAGATACCCCATAGCATTCGCAGAATCTGATGGGTTTGACGGGGCGGCGGAACCTTGACAAAAAATCAATGCTGGTACATATTTCATAGATAGCAATCAATAGCAATAATTGACTTATCAAGCCTACGAATCGTCAGCAGCAGCAATTTTGCAGTGATTGGGATCTGACGAGCGGGGACACACTTGCTGAGGAGTTGGTGATTTGTGGTTCGAAGCACAGCGCATCATCCATGGTTAGTATAACTGATTTCCGAGAGTCTCCATACAATCCACGCGGTGATAACCATAAGAGCATTAATAATAATAAACAAAGCTCTCTCTTCTTCAAGTCCCAACTGCAACTGCATAGCGACGCATTCATGAGGTTGCCACTCTGATATATGCTGGCGCAGACCGGAAGTCTCCTGAGACCCATTGTCAGGATAACAGGAATGGGCGAGATACATCCCTGCATACCAGAACGAGGTGTCCGCCACAAGTGTGCTGTAATCCAGTGACTGTGTATGGAGTAAAATTACTAGCCCGGTACCTACCTAGGTAAGGTAGAGACCATGTATTAGGTTGGATAATTACGTATCATTGTTGCGTCTCAAAGACTCAACAGTGGATCTAGTTTCAGGGGCCGCCCGGCGCCATCAGCTTCCATGGGTTCCGGTGTTGACGGTGGCTGGTCATTTGCTGCTGTAAATCCACCACTGCACATTAGCTTGTCTAAACTTCGAATCTCAACCTGCTTGATGTGCTTGAAAAGAAGGTGGTGGCTTCAAAACTTGGAAGGCCAACGCATTATTTGACAATCAAAAGAAGTGGGATTAAGAAAATATAAACACAGAATGAAAAACTTTATTGACTCTGACAGTACCAAGCTGTTTGGCTACCTCTCTGATTCTCCCATGAGAAAGATGGCTGATCTTGTAAATGGTTGATTTCTGCCAACCTCTCCAAAAATTATGAAGGGATGAACAACATCTGAGCTGCTGTATTTATTGTATTTGGTCAGAAAGGTACCTGATACAAATCTAACCATACAACACCTTCCCAAACATGCCGCAATGCCTGCATTTTGTACAAAGCAATAGCTAACGTTACCATACAATACCGGTCTAGCACCTTCCCCACCTACTTTGTGCTTACCATACATAGGTACATTTGTGTACACTTCAGGCCAAAATAGCAGTAAAGGAAGGTACCACCTTCATGTGCTTGACTGTTGCCCGTAAGTTGGCAGATCCAGATCCCAAAATAACCACAATCGCCGCAGTGCCAGCATTTTCCCTGAGTTGGTGGTCAATCCTTTTCCTTTTCCTCACTACTGTCCAACTCAAGTCTTCCCTCCCCTACCTCCGTCCATCTCTTGGTCATTTTTCTTCTGTTCTGACCACTCTCGTTTTGGCATTTCTGTTCGCTCTTTAATATTGTTACTGTCAGAGGAAGGAAAGCAGAAGTTTTTCGGGTGACAGACTTCGGCCAACGCTCCCTTCCTTCTTTCTTGCTTTCGTTTGAGGAAAGAAGAGGGAGGTCGTTTTTCGCTGCCTGGGCTATTGCATCTGAGA